TGACGCTTTCTAAAACACATTTCGGATAATTTTCGGAGCGTAATGGCGGAGTTATGGCACTAAATCGCCACGCAGTTGCGAAAACCTTCGAGTCGGCGGTAGACGCGCGGCACTAGTTTTACTGAAATATTTATTACAAATTCGAGCTCGGAGCGCCGAATGACGTGCGGCGTGATGGATTACTAACGTATGAACTGTGAGTGTATCATCCACACCGTGACGGTCGCTAGAGGGCGCCCTTGTCGACGAGGCCAGAACAGCGTTCGGCGCGCGGCTGCACCGCTCGTCACGTGGCTTCAAGATGGCGGCCACCTGCGAAAAAAGAATCGCGGAGTTATAGTTACCGAATCGCGATGGCGGTGAAGCGAGCATCTGGATAGCAGTCGCTGGTAGATGACCGTGCAGTGATGGTGCTCTCGAGCGTTGTAACCTAATACACTCGAGCGTTGTAAGCGTATACACTAGCGCTAAAGCCAGAGGCAAACGGAGAGATAGAAAGAAAGAGAAAGAGAAAAAAAGAGGAAAGTGAACGAAAGCGAGAAAGAGAAAGAAAGAGGGAAAGCGAACGAAAGCGAGAGAGAGAGGAAGAGAGAGAGAGAACGAAATAAGGAAAAAAAGAAATAAGGAAAGAGAGAGAACGTGAGAGCGCACGAGCACACGAGAAAGAAAGAGAGCAAGAGCAAGAGTGAGAGCGAGAGCTAGAGCGAGGGAGAGGGGAAGAGCTGTGACTTCATGGAAAACCACTGCTCGGTAAGATGGCACCGATATTGTCGGCTGACCTTTACAGAGCGGCAGCAGCCATTAGATTGCTGTGCGGATTAGATCAACGTGTCATTAGCGCTATGCGTGATACTCGTAGGTATATACGGCACGGCAACAGTTAACAGCCGCAACACTTTGAGACGGACTTAACACGGCGAAACTTTCAAATCGGCTTTAACCTTCTTTCATCGAACAGTGCGATAATTGATCTGGACTATATTTCGTAAGCCGTTCGGCAGTTCGCTTCGAGAAAAGTAGGCGATCGCACGTAGCTGCAGCTTAGAAGAATTAACTAGAGAGCAGAGCGCTTCAGTAGCTTAACCTCGGCACGAGAGGAAATATGAATGCGCGAACGCTGGAAATAGCGGTGATCACGGCGTTTCACACAAACACACACGCACGCACACGCGACCGCACGCACGTACACGCGCACATCCCCGTGAACGCGTCATTTTACGCGCACCGCACCGTAACATGATCGCGTGATCACGGCGGTTCACGCACAACGCTCCCTAACGCGTGATCGCACACGTTCACGCACAACGCTCCCTAACGCGTGATCGCACACGTTCACGCACTGCGCTTCGTGATCTGAGTTTGTAATCACGGCAGTTCACGCAGCGTGTCCGATAACGATATAGCGTGTGAGCGTGAGCGCGCAGCAGGACAAATATATAAATAGCGCACGCAGACGCTATCAAATTGATATTGTCTCCTGTTTGTTCAGTTAAATATATAACACGCTATAATGCACATGAACACGCGAGTTTTAGTGTTGTCAACAATGTGGATGGCAACACGTTCTGTGGGAAGTCATGTCGATATTCGTCATATTATATTTCATTTTAGCTGTAGAAATATTACTCGTCAGACGATCGGATATGGCTGGAAGAATACCGTATAGTGGCATACCTGCTATAGTAACATACACACCGAATCGCTTTGTCGAATTTAAGATTGGGACAAGCAAAAATGTCCGATGCGGTGCCGCTTATTTTCCTTCCACGTGAGAGCGTGAGTGAGTGAGTGATAGTTAGAGAGGGCGGAAAGAGAGAGGGAGAGAGAGCGCGCGCGCGAGCGAGAGAGAGAGGGACAGAGAGAAGAGAGAGGGGGAGAAAAAGAATCAGGGAACTGAAACACTGTCAACTGAGACGCGGGCGAACTGAAATTGCGATTGTAATAAGCCGGGGTACTGGCAAATGGCACATTTTATTCACATGAGAAGCTATGAATGGAACTCCCTTGTTTCTCGCTCATCTATGACTGCCAACATGGCGGTGGGATGACAACAACATCGTATCGCCCCTCGAGTGCCTGCGTTATATCACCATCCCCCAGAGTCGCCTCCTCTATACACGCACGCCACGTCTGCACGCACATGCCATTTTTATTTCGCGCACTGTCTGTCAGCGCCATGTACATAAATGCAGTCCCCCCCCTCCCTCCCCCCAGAGGGATTCGCGGCTGATTGCTGCTATTGTATTCGCCAGCCTTTTACACCCGTGCTAATGCATTCCTACTATTAACCCGAAAAGCCGGAGAAAAAGCAGCTGATATACGAGCAGGAATAGAATCATCGCCAGCGAATGGTATCATTGCCATGGTTTCAACCGCTATTGATATAGACCGTCTCTGTAAATAGACGCGAGGGAAGGGTCGTAATTGTCGGATTCGGCTGCTCGGACTCGCACCGCGGCAACGTGCATGGAATCATATGCTGTCAGGGCTCCCGCTCCGCGCGCGCGTTCTCTCTCTCTCTCTCTCACTCACTCTCCCTCTATCTCGCTCCGTCTCTTCGTCTCTATCTCTCTCTCTCTCTCCCTCCCTCTCACTCTCTCTCTCTCCCCCTCTCTTTATCTTTCCATCGCTCTCTCTCTCTCTTTCGCTCTCCCTCTCTCTCTCTCTCTCTCCCCCTCTCTTTATCTTTCCATCGCTCTCTCTCTCTCTTTCGCTCTCCCTCTCTCTCTCTCTCTCTCTCCCTCTCTTTATCTTTCCATCGCTCTCTCTCTCTCTTTCGCTCTCCCTCTCTCTCTCTCTCTCTCTCTTTGTGTGTGTGTGTGTGTGTGTGTGTGTGT